TTTGTTAAAAAATGCATAAAATTAAGTATAGAACGTTTTAAGTATAGAACGTTTTAGGGCATATGTCTATATATCAATTAATTGTACATCTTTGTATTGTATTGTATAGAATTATAATTTTCTCATTAATATTATACTCAAGTATAAAATTTTTTATTCTGTACATTTTTTTGATAAAAAAATTGTTGTATTAGAATAATACAGATTTAGATAGATGAGTAATGGTAATATATCAATATAATTCATTGCTAAAAATTAATTAGTTTTTAACGTATATAGGCATATCATGATTCTTTGGATATTTTTAATTAGTTTATAGATAAACATATGATCTAAATAAATCATGCTGCTCAAGTGGAATGTCATTCGACATGAAGATAAATAGATAGGGTTTTAGTATTATACAATTTCATAAAATGGTTATAATCTTATTTTAAGCAAAGAAATTGAATAGATTAATAGTTTAGGTTGCAAAACAAACATTCAACAATTAATCTTTCATACTATTACCCAACTTATTCTTTTTTTATAGCTTATTTTGAAAAAAAAAAAATGTTTCTATACTTCGTGGGAGTTATGAGGACAAACATTATTGATTTCAATTTTTTTACTTATAGTTATTAATAATAGATGAGTAATTGTGATATATGATATAATTGATTGGTAAAAATTCTTATTTTAAGTAAATAAATTGAGTAGATTAGAAGTTTAGGTTGCAAAACAATTATTCAACAATTTATTTCTCATACTATTACACAATTTATTCTTTTATATAGGTTATTTTGAAGAAAGAAAATATTTTTATTTTGTGGTCTTTATGAGGAGAATCAATATCGATTTTAAATTTTTTATTATTGTTATTAATATACTTTTAAAATTAAATAACTATTGTTGAAACAATTTATTTGATAGGATACTTACGGTTAAATAAACTCTTAAATTTTATTGAAAAAATCATAAAAGCATTTAAGAATCTTAAAATAATATCAATAAAAAAATATTTAATATATAAAATTTTTAATGATCATCGTTTATAGAGCGCCCATCATGAAAATCAATTGCTCAAATGAAGTAATTATAATTAAAATGTCATGATATATTTTTGTTAATAATTGAACGGAGAACTTCAAATATTTTATGTGTTAATAATTAAAATATTACACAACTTGATATTAATCACCTAATGGTCAGGTAAAGATTAGTTAAGGTTATTAGCTTTGCGACCAATATTTGAAAATACAAATCAACAAACAAATAAATGACGATTTTTGTGGGATTAAAATTCAATCCAATTATAAAACTAAGGTGCAATTTCTAATTCTAATTTTAAATACAAGAGTTTATTTTTCTTAAATAATGAAGTAGTTAAATGAATTCTTCCACTTTTCTAGTTTATAATGGTGTGAAATATTGTGGATGATTTGTAATAGATGTGAATGTTTTATTCGTGTAATTGTTAATTGATTAAATATTAAATGGATATTAGTGTATTACAAATTTGACATTAAAAATATATCAGACAAAGTATTTTTAGGTAAATATAAGTTTNAACAGTTGATAAGTATAACCAAAGGTCTAAAATTGGGAGGACAATCCGGAATCGCCTAAATCGTAAACTAGCAAACGCTAGAAAAAGCAACTCAAACTACACTACAATAAACACAATAAAAAACTACGAAACGATCCCAACAGGATAATGCCCGAGTGTGGGATCCCAACAGGATAATAAGGTCACACCCAGACTCATAGGGGCCAACGGCCCAAACCAAAACACAGGACATGAACACACAAGGAAAGAGCCCAAACCAAAATACAAACCTACTACAGAACAAGACAAGGAAAAAAAACACCAGCTAAGAAAGAAAGCCCTTCCACAGCAAATCAGTCGGCTCGAACTAGCGGAGAAAAGTCAAAATCAAAGATTAGTCCAAGTCCAGAGGACGGCTTTCGAAACTGCCACAAGGCCTATACAAAAAGTCGAGCCCGAACACAGACCAAACTCCGAATCAACCCGCCTCAACAGGAGGGACATCCGAACCCGCCCCCACTCTAGCACCCCCCGAGTACGCCTAACACCACTAGCCTAGCTAAGGAACACCAGAACCCCTCCGACTAACACCACTAGTCGAAACAGGGGGGCGGCTCGGGCCCTCAACTCCAACACACCATCAGAGCCCCGCCCCGCCCCGCCTCTCGACCATCAGGTAAATATTAGTTATTAATTAAAAATATAAGACGGGATAAATATTAGTATATTACTAATCTGCCATTAAAAATATGTTAAATTAAGGGTGTTAGGTAGTTCATATTTTTACAAAAACACTAGTCCTTTTATAGTAGGTTATTTATTATTATATTATTATTATTATTATTGTTATTATTATTAGTTTATTATTATTATATTATTATTATTATTGTTATTATTATTATTATTATTATTATTATTATTATTATTATTATTATCTATATATATTGAAAAAGAGAGGTCAATAAATCATTTGTGGAAACTTTTAAGAAATAATGAGTCAACCATGTTGACATACTAATTATAGCAATCTTTTAAAAATGATTTGTGGCAATTTAAAATGTACAATAATTAATATGATAAGCTGCAAACGTTTTTTAAGAACTCTAACGCGGTTTAGACGGGATTTTTAATTTTGCACATGATTCTGTTTGATTGAATTGATGCTTTTTTGTTTACATGATTTTGTTTACAAAATTTGAACTGTTTTGAGTGAGAGTTTGTTTTATAAATCTGTCACATTTTTAAAATTGATTTTGCTTAATATTTCTGATGTGTTTTGAACGCCATTTTTTACGCTATTTTGTTTAATAATTTAAAATGTTTTCGATGGTATTTTGTTTAAAAAATGTGCACGCATTTTTATAAATATGTGTTCACATCTTTAGTTTTTTTTAACAATTATGTTTCAAAATCAAGGTTCTCAACGTTCAGAAAACATCATTTTTTTTTTCAAACAATGCTGAAATATTATAGCAATCTACAATAAATTAGCGTTGACATCCAGGAAAAAAATGTATTTTGTAATAATATATACAATGTTGTTTAATAAAACTGACGCGATTTCGTTACGCAATTTTTTAACGCTATTTTATTCAACCAATCCTTAATATTATAGTAAAATACTATGATATACCTCCCAAATTTAGAAAAATAATTTATTTACAAACATGCAATATGTTTAAAAAAAATATATAGATATAAGAAAAATTGAATTGACTTAATAAACATTAAATATCGCTTCTTCAATAGGCCATTATTCAAACATAATAATTATACTCAACAAAATATTTTCAAAATCAATAGGGATTCTTAGGATCCCTACTATTAGGGTACTTACCATGATTTCAAATACCTGTTTTTCGACTATTGTTATGCAAAAGCAAATAAGAGATAAAATTTTTGGGATTGTAAGAATCCCAAATACCAAAAATTTACAATATTCATTTATTTATTCGGGATATATCCAAATCTTCTTGAATCGTAGAAACTAGAAATGAATATGCATTTGAATTAAATCCCAACACTCAAATCGGATTACAATAAGAAAATTCGGATTTGAATAACATTGTGACATTTATTTTACTCTTAAAAGTTAGAATCCAAGCTACCAAAAATTCTCTTATTATTTTATCCATGAAGTTTGTTAGGATTCTCAAATCTCACCAATATATTTGGATTAAACATTCGAAGTCAAAAGAACCGTACTAACAAAAATAAAATGCATAAATAACAATGGAATTTTCAATAAAAAATAATATAGTCGGATATATATATGGCGAATTTAAGAAAGAGTTATCACGTTTTCAAATTTGAATAATTCCAAAATTTGTATGATTCATAGAATACCAAATATTCTATTAATTAATTTATAGAAAAATACGTGTAATTAGAGATATCTTAATAAAAAATTTGAAAATACAATTAAATGAATTTGGTTTTAAGTTAGATCCTAATATTTTGGTGATTCTAAAAAATCCATACCATTCGAAAATACCAATATTAGTATATATATAGATAGATATATACAAATTGGATTGCATATTTGTCTAACTTGGAAATTTGCATACAATATCACACTTTTCAAATGGTATATCCTACATAAAGTTATTGATTTTTTTTTTCATAACCGCACTATCTATAGATATATGGCGTAGTGTTGGTATGGTTTATAAAAAATTGGTATTTAGTCACAGTCAACTATATCTTGATGTTTCCGGCGTTTGAAAATATTAGGACGTGGTGATCATGATTTGTCAAAAAACCAAATAAAAAACGTTGTGTACAAGGTATTTAATAATATATAAATTATTTTGTTTTCAATTATATTTTCAAACATGTATACGGCCATGTGTTTGTGTGTTATTATAATTATATATGTGTTATGTTGTTAACATATATCTCATCTCATTATCTAATATAACAGTAACCACTGAATATTGTTTCCCGTGCATAGCACAGGTTATGCGCTAGTTATTATTATTATTATAATAGTATAGATATAGATATAAATAGATAGATAAATAGATATAAATATAAATATAGATAGATAAATTCAAGTAAGAAAATATATTTTCTTCTGTATTCCATAGATAGATAAATTCAAGTAAGAAAATATATTTTCTTCTGTATTCCATTTCTCCATCATCATGTTTCACTTTCTTAATAACACACCCTATTTCTTAATTGTTTACAAGGTTAACTTTGGGGCTATTTATATGTGCACTTATTATTTATTAGATAGCGAATTTAGTACGTGAGGAGTGATATGGCTGTCCTTATTTCCATCAATACAAACAATTCACAACCACATACCCCTTATTTTACGCCTTTAATAAACTCAATGATCAATTCAGTTATTTGTTTTGTGGTAATAATCAGTGTTCGTGTTAGAATTCATTGGAATGAATATTTTGGCATACCATCTTCCCATATATTACATCATATATATACATTTACAAACACACGTACATATTTTGGAGAATGGATTTTTGGGAGGGTATTCCAGTTTGCAATCTTCCATACATAATCGATTCTCTTGGGTTCAAAGATGCCACGTTCATCTAACTTTGTAAGTATATGTAAATGTGTGTGTATGTATATGTATAATTATGTTCACACTAGCGTATATATGTATTTATATAGATATGATGGCGTTTAGATTATTGGTTGATCTGTTTTCTGGTTTATACTCTCAAATATTTGAATGTTTCTTACTGATCCCCATTTAAATTGAATGCAAAATTATATTTTGTGCCCTGTAATTATGTGTGTATGACAAATGTGGACAGCTTCTTTTTGGTTTGGCAAAAGTGCTCTAAAACTTGTTAAAACCCGGAATTCGTGTCCAATTTACCTACAAGTTACTGGATTTGACCGGTTTTTCGTGTGGCAAAACAGGACAGTAACTTGTTAAAATTCGAAATTTGTGCCCAAATTGGGCACGAATTTCGGGTTTTAACAAGTTTCAGGCCACTTTTGCCAAACCAAAAATAAGTTGTCCACATTTGCCACACACCTCTACTCACAGAACATAAAATGCAATTTTGCCTAAATTCAATTTCTAGATCTAAGTAAAGGCTCTAGGCGGTCCTTGGACTGTCCTCTCAGTTTATTCAGTTGTTGGCTATCTGTATTCAACTGTTGGCTGTGTGTATTCAGCTGGTGGCTGCTCTTTTGCACATTTGTGCCATTTTATATAAAACCTCTATCGTTTTGGCAAAAAAAAAAAAATCTAAGTAAAGGCATATAAGTGGCACTCAATTTGTGAAAGCCCTCTTTATATATTTAGTAGTGTTATAAGTTGAATCGCCTTCTATCCACAACCTCAATTACGTTAGTGCATGATATAAATTGATACAAGAGGTTAATATATACATATATTGTTGTGATTTAATTTTCCTCAGATGTCAGCATTAAAAGATCAGAAGGGAGGTTGGAGAACCTATTTGCGTGGTGGTCCATTTTGTATAGCTTCTATTTTAATTTTCGGACTATGTCTATGGACCATTTTGATAGCACAACACAATAAAGAGGTTGCATAAAGCTATATTATTCTTTTAGTTATCATCTATTACATTCCAAGCCTCAATAACTAATGTTTTCAAGTTGGATTTTTTTGCGACTAACTTGTGGAGGCATTTTCTGTAGAAATTGTTTAAGAGTTTACGAGGAAATCCCTCAAGATCCATTACATGCGAGGTGAGATATTGTAGAATCAAGATTTTACTTTTTTTCGATCATCGTATTAATTACCATGTTCAATCTTAAAACTATGTACATATATGTGTTTACAAGGTGTTGTAATTAATATATATACACTATCTAATTATCCAGCATCTATGTCAAAATTCTATTAATACTTACTTTTAATTTCTTTTCTCTAGAATCAGTGCAGACCTTTAGGAAGTGAGACTTTGCCGAAAGGTATAGTTGCAAATACCTCAAACTTGGAAAGACGGCCACTTTGGGGTTTACCAGAGGTACATTTCAGAAAATATACCACTTTGGGATATGATGACTTATTGTAAATTTGTAACTGAGTTTCGAAAGAAATTCTTAGTTGTCTAATTCACTAGCAAAAATAAAGATATTGAGTTCCATCATTTTCTTTTTGTACTCATTTTATATGTTGTTTTATTCGAAAAACAACATTGTTGATATTTACTTTCAACTTCCAATCGCATTAAAGTAGTTGACGTGTGTTTTTGCCAATGGGTCCACCGAGGCGACGACCTTAGGATTGTGTAGTATTTTTGGGTTTTATGATGAGTTTTAACGTGATAATAATGAAGAAATCAAAAGAGACAAAGCTTAAATTGTCGACGAATTAAAGTGTCTGCGCCGATGGTTTTTATTGATAGGATGGGCTGCTCCCGGGGCTCTTTTCATACATGAGCCTTTCAAAGGTATGGAGATTGGAAAATAGCGAGAAAATAACTGAACCTTAGCTGCAAAGGAAATTGTATATAATGGAGATGGAAGTAGAAAAGGCGATCTTCAAAGCCTCCGGACCCCATTAGTTATAGAAGGGGAGGTCTTCAAAATATTATATATTTTGGACGGGGGGTGGCCTCTGACTGGCTGCATGGTGACACGTATTCGGCAACTTGCAAGCAACTTGCCGGCAAGTGGCTTATCTCTTTGGGCGGTGGGAACTGGTTCAGGGCAATAACTCTTTCTACATTAGCTTAGGATGGAGGTCGGACGTGCTTAGATCGGCTATGAGGAATGATATTTTGCTTCTGGAAGAGGTCGACATGTCTACCTCGTAGCTGGGAACGAGGTCAACACATTGGTGGATGGTGTCTTCGGGGTCGACGTCTTTCTTCTAGGAGGCTTGATTTTGGATCGGACAAAATAGTGTATCAACATTAGGCCCTCAGGTTCCTAGGGTCTAACGGGAAGTTCGGCAAGTCGTAGGAAGCTATGTGAATTCTTCGTGTGCGGGGTCAGCTTCTGGATTAATGTATTTGGGTAGAAGGTTATATCTTTTAAATTACGAGAATAGTAGCTTTGATGTTGGTTTCTTCTTGAGGACGTGATTTGGACGACTGAATAAGGCATTCTTCCAATGGGGTCTGCCACGTGTGAGTACTGGCTGGTGTGTGAAACGTCGTCTTGAAACGTCTCAGTTATCTCTTTAATGTGGCTGGCGTGTAGACAAAGGGTTTCCGCTGAGGTTATTTATAAGAGAGAATGGATCTGTCTTTTTGGTGAAAATTCCATTTGGATTTCTTCTTCTTCTTCTTCTTCTTCTTGGGAGTGATGTCCCAACTTGGGTCGGAGGAGACCTTCATCGGTGAATGTGGTGAGTCCTCAGGTCGGTATGGTGAGGCCTGAGGAAGCTGTGTTTGGCAACGAAGCCCTAAATGAAGTGAGGGCTAGTTGTTCGTTTGGGAGAATTCGTCGGGAGAAAATCCGATGCGTGCTTCCCGAGCAAAAAAGTTAACTACGGCTCCCTTGTGTAAGGGAGTTTTCCTTGGGTTGCCTTCATCTAAAGGTCGAATCCTCGCCGTGGTCGACGACGGCCGTGCGTAGCTTGCGGTTGCCACAGTTGTGGAAATTTGCGGAGCCCTCGGTATGAAGTGGGCTTCGAGATGGATCTAAGAGGGGGCGTGAAGCCGCTTTTTCTGAGAAGGTTCTGGCTCAGAAGACAGAGCGACTGGATCTGTATCCTTGCCTCAAGTTTACTGCGACTAATAAGGATGGGTAGTCGTATTCTAAGATATGATTGTGGATTTAGATCCATTCATCAGGCCAATCCCTTAGGGAATCATTGGGCCTCGAGAGATATTAGACTGGAATTCTCTACCAACGATGACGGGGGCCACTAGAGGGTGTTAAGTCGTTTTGATGGTTTTACCCATTTTTTTGGTTTAAAGCTCCATGGGAAACAAAAATGATAGCACGTGGAGTTGATATTACTGAGGGGCAGCCTTACCGGCAGCTTGGGAATGTCTTTTTTGATTTCTTAACCTATCTCGGGCTATAAAGTTTTTAGTTTAGAAGGAAGAACGACTTTTCCTGAAGTTTTAGTACACTTAAAGGTGAGAAAGTACGTAATTTGTCAAACAAATGTACTTGCAACAATTGTCTATAAAGTAACGTAGTTCGATGTAATAGTCCTGATTATGGATTTAGTCATGAGAATCGTAAACAAAGTATATAAGTTAATTTAATGGCAAATGAGAAGGGAGAATCTATTGTATATTTTGACTGTCATAAAAATTCTTTAAGTGCCTAGCCCCTTTAGGCTATTGTCTGCAATGAAGCCCTAGATGATGTGAGGGCTGGTTGTTCATTCAATAGTGTTTGGGAGAATTCGTGGTTGTTTGGTCAAGAGTGTTTGGGAACATTCGTCGGGAGAAAATTAGATGCGTGTTTACCAAGCAAAAAAGTCACCTGCAGCCCCCAGGGGTAAGGGAGTTTCCCCTTGGGTGCCTTCATCTGAGTGTTGGATCCTCATCCTGATTGACGACGGCAGTGCGGGGCTTGTGGTAGCCACGACTGTGGACATCTGCGGGTTCCTCGATATAAAGTGGGCATCGGGGATGATCTAGGAGGCGTGTTAAGCCACTTTTGCTTAATAGGTTCTGGCTCAGAAGACGGAGCGATTAGATCTACATCATGGCCTTTAGTTTACTGCAATTGATGAGGATAGGGTAGTCGTGTTTCGGGAGATGAAGGTGGAATTAGATCCCTTCGTCAGACTGATCCCTCAATGAATCTTTGGGCCTCAAGAGATATTGGGCTGGAATCCTCTACCAACGAAGACAGGAGCCACTAAAGGGTGATTAGTCTAGTGCGATTCTGCACTTTAAAAATTTGTAAGTCCTAAGAGTCGTGACCAGGAGATGGAGCATTTTACCAGTTTTGATAGTTTTAAGCTTCGGATGAGGTAGCCACGGTAGCATCGTGGAGTTCATATTGGTTAGAGGCAACCTTGCCAGCGACTTGAGGATGACTTTTTTTATTTCTACACCTATCGCGGGCTACGAAGTTTATATTTTTGAAGGAAGAATGACTTTTCCCCATGTTTTAGTACAGTTAAAGGTGATAAAGTATGAAAATTGTCAAAGCAAATGTGCTTGCAAGAGTTGGGTATAAAGTAACGTAGTTCGATGTAATAGTCTTGGTTATGGATATAGTCATGAGAATCGTAAACAAAGTATATAAGTTAATATAACGACGAATGAGAAGGGAGTATAAATTATATATTTTGATTATCATAAAAATTCTTTAAGTTTGTATCCCCTTTAGTCTATTGTCAGGCCTCATTTTCTGTTGTTGTGCTTGCGTTTGTTTGGCCGACGGCCTCCCTTCGTCTTATAGGGTCCCTTCAAGTTGTGCGTTTCATTCTCGGGCCATATTTGTATATTAGAAGGGGTTTATCCGACATCGTTGAAATAAAGTGTTCATGATCAGGAAGAGTACATAAAGATAGTGTATAGTAAGGTCGGTGTATTTTTAATAAAATAGGATCTTTTACGTGTAACCTCAAGAAATGGTAGCTAATTGTTTACCCATAGGGTGAATTTCTGGTCGGAATATGTCGTAGAGTCGACTGGAGATGTTTATAGTTAGTATACCTGAAGGTGGATAGGACCCTGTTCATATCGCCTTCTCATTCGATAGGCGCTGATAATTTTTAGGGTTACGATCTACATTGGCGCTTTTCATTCTGGTGTGGGTTTGTTGTTTTTGTGTTGGGGAGGCTACTGATACAGTCCCCTATGGGGATGGCATATTCATGTGATCTGCCTTTGGATTTCTCGATGTTCAAATTGTGTATCACATAAAATGGGTTACCAAATTGTGTATCACATAAAATGGGTTAGATACATATTAATGAAGGTTCATGTTTAATGAGTATATGATGGTAGTGTTCCCCTTCGGGGTGAGATCGGGTCCATATAGTTTACCTGTCTTTTGATGTAGTGATTAGATTTTACTTAGAGAACGGAACAGTTATCGGCGTGTCATTCAGTAGCGATCAGGCTTGTCTTCGTTCTAAGGTCGGATCGTTACTTGAAAGCATAGATTCGGGTGTACCCTTTTGGGTTGGTGGGAATTCAGTCTGCCCTTTCACTTGGATGTCTTGGTGTCGAGTTTGGCATTTTTTATTAGGCTCTGCTATTTGGATGAGGTTGTGATCTATTCAGTTACCACACTAGATCTGGCGAGAGATCATCTTTGAACTCAGTGTGGGGATTCCTCGAGGTTCGGGAATCATCATGTCATCCTTCCTTGATGGGAGTTCGGGCTTCAGCCTTTCCTGTGTCAAGAGTTTTCTGTTTCAGTTATCAAGAAAATTTTTAAGAAGGGATATATCATTATACACTTTTAGAAATATTTTTCACGGGGAACATTTGGAGAGTAACAGTAGATTCAGTGATTTGAAAATCTCCTTTAGGGGATATTTCGGGATGTATAGATTTGGGTACATTCATGTAAAGTTTGGATTTTTTGGGCGGATGCCATCTTTAAATTTTAGGCGGATCAAGCGTGATGCCTTATTTCCGTAATTTTTAGCTTTGGACAGGAAAATCAAGCACATGCCGCATATCCATCGGACGTCATAGATTTCAGGCGAGTCAGACTTTTCCGATAACTATGAGGGGAGTCATAGTTCAGTTTGAAAGGGGCGGTTGCGCCAGCACTCTCTGTAAACATGACTTCATAGCACGGAGGGGGTAGTTGCGCCAAAACTCTCCGTAGAGGCAATCGCGCGTGAATTGAGGTCCGGTCGTTTTTGTCGAAGCCACAACTATTTGAAAGATTTTTTAGTTCGTGTTGTTTTTGCTGCAAAGTTGAGGATTTTAAGGAGATTGTGCTTTTGAAAGATTTGAAGGATTTTTCAGGCGGGATGTTGTATTTCTGGGAATATTTAGTTCGGGAGGTCAAGTCAAGTATTTGTCGTATACCTGTTAGGAAAGTACAGACTTCGGACAAGTCAGGCCCTTCTCTAAAACCACGTGTAGGAGAGGTAGGGATCTCTATAGAGAGGGTCGGGCTGTCGATTGCCTCTATAGTGGAGAGATAGGGCTCAACACGGAGGGGGCAGGGTGCCAACTGCCTCCGTGTGAGAAAGGGGAAGGCAGAGTTAGGCCTTCCCCGGACGAAGTTATACCTCTCGGACGATTTTGCGGCCGTGCTATCTTTACCACCGAGTTGAGTATTTTAAGGGATAAGTACATTTAGTGGACTTATGTCCTTGATTATGACATTGTAACACATTCTTTAGGGACAAGATAGATAGAGCGATATGCTATTTGAGGGGTTTAAGGACTTCGATCAGGTCAGGCCTCTTGCCGTAATAGCGAAGGGGAGTCATAGCTCTGTACATGGAGGGGGCGATATGTCAACTGCTCTGCAAAAATAACTGTAGAAGGATTGGAGTCCAATCATCCGCGCCGAAGTTTTAAGGTTAATGTTTTGGGTGTTTTAGTGTTACTGATTACCAGACGGGAATTTTGTGAGATTCTGAGGATACCGTGTTAGCGGATCATATATTTCAGCCTTAATGAACAAAACAGGAAAAAGAACTCGTGCATACATAGAGACAAAATCAAGGGATTATGTTGTGCATGAAGACAAGACTTAAAGTTGCTTTTTGCTTTTGAGCTGTCACACTTCACAACCATTGATCAGTTGTAACTTAGAGTTAAGATCAGCCTTTCATTTCATATATAAATACCATAGGATAGAGTGTTAGTTGTAGTTAGGTTTTATCTTTACAAACAAGCCGTCATGTACTTTGTGATATTTGCAATGAACCAAGTTATTCAGATCTCGTTTTTCCTTATGATTTCCATGAAAATCTTTCATGGTATCAGAGCAGGATTATCCTGTCTCTGACACCTCCATTGTTCATTTTTCTTTCATTGTTTTCTCGATTTTCAAATGAGTCAAACAGACCACTCATCTAGTGGTGTTTCATCTACCAACATGAACACAGCGGCTCCAGTTGGTCTCATTCAACCTAATAGTCAGCTGATCTCAACAAAGCTAGATGAAACAAACTATTTAATATGGAAGCAACAAGCTATTACTGCCATCAGAGGTTATGGTGTAGAAGGCTACATCAATGGAGAATCTAAGAAGCCAGAGAAACTTATCACAAATGCAGATTCAGGTGAGCTCACTGTAAACCCAGAAAACCTTCTTTGGGTAAGGCAGGATCAACTCCTAGCCTCATGGCTTTTATCATCTCTCAGTGAAGGGATCCTTGTTATGATGGTCGGTTTAAACTCAGCTGAAGAGATCTGGAATACCATTGAGAGTAACTTTGCAAGCCAATCTTCAGCTAGAATCATGCAGTACAAATTAAAGCTGCAAACTTTTAAAAAATCTGGTCTTTCCATGAGGGAATACTTGAGCAAGATCAAAAGCTATTGTGATATCTTAGCCATAGCAAGAGAAAAAGTCTCTGAACAGAATCAAGTGCTTCATGTTCTAACAGGTCTTGGTTCAGAGTATGATTCAGTAGTGGTTAATGTAACTTCTAGATTTCCTCCTCATACCTTGAGTGAAGTTCATGCATTGCTCCTCACATATGAGTCAAGACTTGAAATGAATCAAAACTCCATTGTGAATAGTGAAGGTTCTCAGCCTTATGCTAATGTTGTGACACAAAACAGTCAAAGAAGCTATTCACAGAATTTTAATCAAAGTAGGGGAGGCAGATTTCAAGGCCAAGGACAAAGAGGAGGTAGAAGCTTTAGAGGCAGAGGCAGAGGGAGGAATCAATCCAACAGGCCTCAATGCCAAATTTGCCAAGGGTTGAATCATACAGCAGATAAATGCTGGTACAGGTATGACAATGGACCTGGAA